GATAGATAGATAGATAGATAGATAGATAGATAGATAGATAGATAGATAGATAGATAGATTAGAGATAGGGGTAGGCTTTTAGAAACGTGCCATTCATCCATTGCAGAAAAAGCAATATTTTCAACTGATGAAAGAAGAAAGCAATATCTTCTTCTTTGGCGCGGTGTTTTGATATTTCACAATGATACGGCGGTGTTATTAGACAATTTCCTTTTTATCTCTATATAGTTTATAATAATATGGTGGAATAAGGCGTCTTTGGTACAGCAGGGGCAGCAAACCATTTAACATATATTCTTAAATGTTTAAGGTAGCAATTTAATGCTAAATTCTGTTAGAATCCTTAAAATGTGGTGCTATTTTTCTTTTTTCCTTTCCTTTCCTCTCTTCCCTCCTCTTTTTTATTTTCCTTTCCTCTCCTCTTCATCCATCTTTCCCTTCCCCCTTTCCTTTCCTTCTTTCCCATTTGCTTTAATTTTAATTTTGTTGCTGTTTTTCATTAATTACTTTTCATGTTGCAAATCTCATTTCTATTGGTTATCATTTGTGCTGTGATCATCGAATATTCTCAGTCATCCAGGTCATGGTTTTCCCTACGGTGCTTTTTCCCCCCAAAAGGCAACTGGATTTTTCTTACTTCCAAGAAAGTTCCACACCCAGTTGCAATACAGCTTAGTCCTTGACTTACAACACTTCATTTAGTGGCCGTTTAAAGTTACAACAGCACTGGGAAAAAAAGAGACTTATATGGCCAATGTTCACACTTATGACCATTGCAGCATCGCCATGCTCACGTGATCAAAATCCAGACACTTCGCAACTGTTTCATATTTATGACGGTTGCAGTTGTCCTGGGGTCATTCGATCCCCTTTTGCGACCTTCTGATAAGCAGCGGGGAAGCCTCAACAATTGTTTTACTAACTTAATGACTGCAGTGGTTCACTTAACAACTGTGGCAAAAAAAGGGTCGTAAAATGGGCAAAACTCACTTAGCAAATGTCTCACTTAGCGACAGAAATGTTGGGCTCAATTGAGGCCCTAAGTGGAGGATTGCTTGTATTCAGCTGACCCTGAGGACACAAATAAACCTCCAAGTGGCCTCAATGATTCTCAGAGAGACTACTAACGACCAGAGGACTGCAAGGAATATAAATCCTGCCATCCGCCACCATTCAGTGAGAACTGAAGAAGCTTCTTGGACGAGAAGTGAAACCTCTTCAAGGAAAAAAAAAACAAGAAAGTCCAGTTGCCTTTTTTTGGTGGGGGGAAAATGCACCTTTGCATTCTGTTCCTTGTTTGCAATTTTGCAAAATAAAGAAGCATAAAGATTTTTATTTTTTTTAAAATAGATACCACTGGGCAGTTGATTCTCCTTTTCTTCCATGGGATCCATGTCCAAGCCACGTTTCTCTCTTCGATGGGTCTCGCTCACCAGGGAATCTATCACAAAGCAAAGTAGGAAAGAGACAAATTTGATTGGTTGTCCCAAAGTTTAACCCTCTAGGAATGAATTTTGGACATCGTAGCTGCTAATATCTGGACAGCCCTCCAGCTGATGTATGAGTGTGCTGCCCCATTCACACACAGAGATACACACACACATACACACACACACACACGGTTTTAATTGAGATAATTCATTAATGTTCCCCACAATTTCTTTCACCCAGCCTCAGAACTCTCCCAAATAAATCCAGCTATAAGCAGGCCAAGGTTAGTCCACAGAGCAATGGCCAATAGTCCATAAAACAATGGAAAGTTGCTCCACCAGGCCAAACTGAAATACACCCGCAAGAGCTTGGCAGGAGAAGTTGAGCGTCTCCCAGGCACAAAGTGAAGCACGAAGCATGAGGAATAAACACACACAGCCATTAACCAAACACGTTCCCAGCAATGCCTCCTTTTGCCTGCTGTGACCAACAGCTTTCCGGTGAGCTCATCAAAATGGGCGGGGCTTTCTCCCGAGTAATCTGGCAGATCTCCATTGCTCTTGTCTTTTCTCTGCCCTGTGTGCTCTCGGATCCACCACAGAAGATAGTTCCTTCTCCTCTTCCTCTTCGCTGACCTACAAGCTGTCCCCAGACAAAGCCTCCTGTAAACCTATTTCAGCCGGCTGTTGACCCTCATTAATTAACCCCGTTCCTGACGTGCCAACAATGCGCTCGTCTTCCCTTAAGTCGGCCTCTGAGGAAGAGAAGGGGTCATCCAATGAGTCTAATTGTTCCGACCGCAGGTGATGATCAATTTATGTGGCTACACGAGACATTTGTTAAGTGGCTTTTGGGCCCCATTTTGCAACCTTTCTTGCCACAGTTGTTAAGCGAATCGCTGCAGTTGTTAAGTTAGTACTACAGTCGTTAAGTGAATCTGGATTTCCTGTTAACTTTGCATGGGGTGGGGGGGAAAATCGCATGATACCAGCACGCCGCGATCGTCCTAAATATGAACCAATTGCCAAGCATCTGAATTTTGATCATGTCTCACTTGGCAACATAAATTTTGGACTCAACTATGGACATAAATCGAGGACCACCTGTAGGAAATCAACAATTTGGCTTATTTAGTTTTGAATTCTCCTCCGGTTTGGGGCACTTCAAATGCACCATTTGCTTGGTTAGAAATTATGAAATTCACTGCTGAGAGGACTTAGAAGAGTAGAAATGGCTGGTTTTCTAGTGGTTCTCCATGTTTCACTTTGAATTTAGAATTAAAATTAGAATAACAGTGTTGGGAGGGACCGTGGAGGTCTTCTAGTCCAACCCCCTGCTTAAGCAGGAAACCCCATTACAATTGCTTCATCGCTGGAGGCTTTCAAGAAGAGATTGGACTGCCATTGGTCAGAAATGGTGTAGTCGGACAGTGAGGAGGTTGGGGAGGAAGACAGGCCAGTCCTGGAGTCTGGGGAAGGCTCTGATGAGGGCTCTGCATCGGAGGCAGAGATAGGGCCAGGGCCGTCCAACAGTTATCAGCTGCCTTTGGAATCAGAGACCAGTGGGGAAGAAGAACAGCTGGAGCCTGTTCCCCGTGTGCACATGCACAGAGCTGCCAGACGAAGGGAACCGCTAAGGAACATGGGTCGACTTGGGAGTAAAGGCACAGGTGGACGGTGAATGGCCCCTCCCATGGGGAATAAATAGGAGCGAAAGGGGAGTAGGGCTTTGCAGGAAGCAATTAGTTCATGCTTGCCAAGTATTTCCAGGTCTGAAAGATATCGGCCTGGCTCCTCTCCAAGCCTGATAAAGGTCTGTAATTGGGAACTATCATGAAGGACTGTTGGCCCGGGACTTTGCTGGGGAGGAAATTCATTGTAAATCAAATAAATAAAGCCTAGGTCAGAACATCCTGCCCCAAACTTGGTCAAATCAAGGCGTACAGTTGGGTTTCTTTCCTCAGATTTTCAAGCCACGGCGTGACCCCACCTGTCTCTCTTTTTTTTTTCTCCCGTGGGCCCACCCCTCCCCCATCTCAGCCACGTACCATTCAACCCAAGCGTTTGGACCATAGGGGCACCTCTCCCGGGTTCCACATCTGGAAAAACATCCTGATGTAGTTCTTTCTGTAGCTGCCCGAGGAACATCTGACCTTGGAGTCGCAGTTCATCCACCTCGTCTTCTGTCAGCTAACGGAAGGAAAAAAGGAAAAGTGAGACCCGGAGGGCAGAGCTGATCTTGAAAAAGTCCCAAAGATGCTTTAAACACACACACACACACACACACACACGCACACATACACACCAGGAGGTGTTAGGAATAACATAGGTTACCTAACGTAGTTTGGGTAAAATAATATATATAGACTATGATAGTGATTTTAAGTGTGTGTCACTTTAACTGCAAAGCATGTAATTTTGGGTGCAGCTGTAAATCGCCATAAGAGGGAGCAAGAGAACTGGATTGCTTGCTGACTATGATGGATAGTTAACTGAGTGTTTCCTGCTACTGTTGCTGAAGGAGGAAAGGAGGTTTTTACTTCTTCTTATCTCATACTGCGAAGAGATAAATTACTGGACTGATATTAGTAAGTTTAATGACCTCTTTTTCGACACTGGACTTTGCAACTGATTAATCCCTGGACGGACTGAACTAAGTGTAATAATATATGGACTGTTTTACTATGCATATAAATCTTACTGGAATAAACTATTTTAACTAGCACATTTTATCTGTTTTACTGAGTGTAAACTACAACAACGTTTATCTCACATATTTGCCTGCCTGCCTGACTGCCGTGCAGGTTCTGCTAGGGTGTATATCCCTAACAGGAGGCAACTGAACGTTCTTGTTTTTTTCTTTGAAGACGGTTCGCTTCTCATCTAAGAAGCTTCTTCAAGCTCTGACTGGATGGGCCATGTTGTAGGTGACAGCATTGATGCGGCTGACAATCGGTCTCCCTCTCTGTGGATTTCGGGAGGGGGCATATAGGGAGGGGGGTGGCTTCCTCACGATAAAGACAATGGGCCAAGCAGTCTGTGGATAACACAACCATCCAGTTCCTCCCCCCCCCCCCCCCCAAAAAACCCCTCCTACATTCCCACATAAAGTTCTCAGAAGAATTCCCTACAACAGTTGACTTCAATAGAGGAAGTGATTAAGAAAATAACGGAATGCTGGACCCTTGCCCATTGCTTCACCATTGCTTTAGTTTTAATGCAGTATTGGAGGCTGAATTTGCTCACTGCCAGCAGTTCAATCCTGACTGGCACAAGGTTGACTCAGCCTTCCATCCTTCTGACATCGGTACAATGAGGACCCAGATTGTTGGGGAGCAAGAGGCTGACTCTGTAAACCGCTTAGAGAAGGCTGGAAAGCACTGTGAAGCGGTGTATAATTCTAAGTGCTATTGCTATCCTTCTTTCTTTCCTTCCTTCCTTCCTTCCTTCCTTCCTTCCTTCCTTCCTTCCTTCCTTCCTTCCTTCCTTCCTTCCTTCTTTCCTTCCTTGGTAGAACGCAGCATTGCAGGCTGACTCTGCCCACTGCCAGCAGTTCAATCCTGACCGGTTCAAGGTTGACTCAGCCTTCCATCCTTCCAAGGTGGGTAAAATGAGGACCCAGATTGTTGGGTGCAAGAGGCTGAGTCTATAAACCGCTTAGAGAGGGCTGTAAAAGCACTATGAAGTGGTATATAAGTCTAAGGGCTATTGTTAATACTTCAACAACTACTGTTCCTTCAGTCATTCAAGTTGCCATTCATTTTCCCCCCACTTCTTTTCACGAGACAATGCCCTCCATCTTTGTGTCTTTATTAGGAGCAACATGTCCGGCACTAATCTGTATGAAGCCAACTCTGAGACACATAATTTACTATCACCTATGACCCTGTTTCCCTCCCCCCCTAGGTGTGTCATAAATCAAATTCTCCAACAAAACACATTCACGGGCTGAGTGTCATCAATCACATTCTCCAATGAAGGATTTTCGGGGGGGCAGAAGATCCAGTAGCCTAGGCTACAATCTCTACAAGATAAGCATGGAATGTGCTTCTGGCCTTCATCTGCCGTACTGCCCCCTCAGGCCTTCCCCTCAACTCTTTCTTATGGCAACTCGGAAACAGGCATAATGTGATATGCAAAATTATACTTGTGAAAATATAAAGCAATGGTAATACCATTTTTAACCTTTGTGTTAATCTAAGATAATTTACTGGAATGTTATGTAAGAATTCTCTATTGTTTTGTATAAAGGTTATATATTTGGCATGTTAATGATGGAGATTACTGGAAATGGAAACGGGTAAACAGGTTAAGGAAACAGATGTTATGCTACAATAATAGGGGTGTTGCGTAGGGTGATGCGTAGCTGGATAGATTGTGAACCTGGAAAGGGGCAGAGACTGTATATTTGAAACGGTATATAAACCCCAACCTTCCCAGGAAGCATGTCTTCTGCGGCCCTGAGCACAGAACTCCCTTTTGCAAAAGCTCCACAATAAAGCTCCTATTTATTGATCAAGGGTCTCCAGTTGTATGTAAACCTGAATGGCTGGTTTTTATCACACATAGGAATGATTTACAAGTTGACATTTTGCTTCTCTGGCTCCGATTCCCATACCTGTAGGAAATGCTGGGTCTCCTGTCCAACAGGTGCAGCTGCTGCAAAACGCTCAGCTGGGGTGCTCAGCTCCTGCACCCAGTCAGCCAGGTTGGGCCCGGTGCCTTGGAACAAGGAGGCAAAGGAAGGGAGACGAGGCGGAGGACGGCTGTAAAATTGAGGAAAAGGGGGTCAGCCCTAAAGCCTGAAAGACAGGATCTTGCTTGCTCTATCTTCCATCAACAAACAGTACAGAAAGTCCTTGACTTACGTTGAGATCCGCAACCAAGATCCAAAATTTCCACTGGTGACCATATACTTAAAGTACATTTTTCCCCATTTCGTGGTCTTTTTTTTACACCATCGCTAAGTGAATCACTTGCAATTGTTACGTTAGTAAGACGGTTGTGAAGTGAATCCAGCTTCCCCATTGAAAGGTCACAAAAGGAGATCATATGAGCCCAGGACACTGCAACCGTCATAAATATGAGTCAACTGCCAAGCGAATTTTGATCACATGAGGGCAGGGATGCTGCAAAGGTCGTAAGTGTGGGAACCAGTCCTAAGTCACTTTTTACAGTGTCATTGAAACCTCAAGTGGCTACAAATGGCTATAAGTGGAGGACTATGTGATGATCCAGGGCGTGGCACAAAGGCAACACATTCAGATAATCCGTAGGAGTGCCTTTATTAGCTCCAACTTTGCCCCCAATGTCCTGGCTACCTTCTGGGATGGAGAAAAACTCTCCCAGGAAACCTTTGACTGCAGAGAATCAAGTCCAAAACGTGGTCAACAAAAACTGTAACTATAAATCCAATCAAGCCAAACTGAGGTAATTAGTTTGGCAGGGCAGGAGCAAGAATTCCAGACGTGAAGGAATGGCCATAATTCAGGAACACAAATAAGCAAAGTCAAAACAAGATAGACTCACGTTTGCTCCCAGCAGCTGCCGCACACAGACTGCATTTCTTTTAAACTCTCTTCCCAGATGTGGCTAATGAAGGGAATCAGGGCCCTTTCCTCCCCCATAAGCCACGCAACCCACGTTGCTCTCTTCTCCGTTCCTCCCTGCGTGCCCTAGGATGAAGAGATGGTGGACCTGGGTCTTCCTCTGAACTCCCTCTCCCTTGTTCTACCTGTTCCCTGCTCTGCACAGCTGGACTTTGCCCTTCCCCAGCCTCCTCCACAGCCAACAGAGTCACACTCTCACCCCCTGTCAGCTGTTCATCTTCCTCCTCAGATTCAGACTCTGACAGGGGCATGACAGACTACCTGTGGTGGAAGCAGACTTTGGGGATGTGAAGCGATGGGCAAGGGTCCAGCAAGGGGCATGGAAACCCCACCTGCTTCCTTCTAATTGATCAGGGTTCTGTAAGGGGCAAAAGATCAGGTCCACACATGTGGGTCCAGTTAAACAGATTTATTGCTAAACGGTCTATGCTACAAGTGTCAAACTTGATAGCATCACGTGACGTATCATGACTTATCGCAATATTTTTTGACTTTGCGGAGCCAGGATGGGCGTGACACATCCAGCCGCCAGTTTGACAGGCCTCGTCTATGTCAGCTAAAAAAATACTCCTTTGGTCTTTTTAGTTGGCAGCAGAAAGGGAGTGGGGGAAAACAGTGCATTCCTTAAATGCCTCAGATAATCGCCTTGGCAGCCCAAAGCTGTCAACACACAATATTACTGCAGAGCATAAATGATGACTTTTAGCTATGGAAATGTCTCATTGGAAAATATACATCCAGGGGGTGGGAGGAAGACCAGGGTCAAGGGGGAAATGAATGATGTATTTTAGTGTCGGCTGCACCCAGCTAATGCCAGCATGGCCACTCCAAATAAATCATTTTTTTTTACTCTGAGGGATGCGGCTAGAGACTTATGATTTGAATGGGGGTGGATTTGTTGGAGCCCTGAAATCTTCTCAACTAATAGTCAGTTCCTGCTTAGAATTAGATAAGGGTCAAGGGAATTCAAGAAGGGTTGGACTTAAACTGCTTATGGCTGCGCAGGGATTCTAGGCTGCTTCCTCTTTTAACTCCGCCCCCCGTTTCTGCCACTTTTTCTACTACAGGTTCGCTGTTCGCTGTTCTTACAACTGAAGGAAAGCGCGGGTTCTTTTTCAGCGACCATCTTTGCAATGGGATTCTTAACCCAACCAAAATTAAATATTGTTCCAGGCTTCACTTTTTGTTGCTTAGAAAAATGGCTAATCCTTAACTGCTCATGTCAAACCATAGAGGTCTTCTAGTCCAGCCCCTTCTTGAGCAGGAGACTGTATACCCATGTTGGTGAACCTATGGCATGTGTGCCGGAAGTGAAATGCTGAGCCACTTCTGCTGGCATATGAGAGCTCACCCGGAAGAGCCCCACTGTGCATGCACCGCCACCTGACAGCTGATTGTCGGGTATCTGGTGCTCATGTGCGGGGGGAGGGGCAGGGGTGCACGGGAGACACACGTGCATGCACAGAGATATATATGTTTTCGTAGATTTTCATGGGTACAGGTATGTAGGTCTTGGCGCGTTCGGGTCTTTTCCCATGTAAGATTGAGAGCATCTTGGCAACATTTCAACGAGGTCCCATTCGCCATCTTCAGGCTGGTGCTTTCGGCTTCGTGCTTGTGCAAGCAAAGCGTGATCGGAGCTGCCATCTCCCTATATATATATTGGTGAGGCGATTGGCTGTGTTGTCATTTCTTGATTGGTTGGTGGAGTTGATGTTTGCAGATTGGCTGGCTTTTTCGTAAGAACATATGTGGCTGAGGTATTGGCTGTGTGTCTATCAGCCTCCTGTGCTGTAACGACGTGGGTAATGGGCTGTGTGATGACCTTCTGAGTTCTATTGTTGTGACATCCTGGGTCTTGTGCTGTAATCTCCTGGGTCGTTGGCTGTGTTGCAACATCCTGAGGTTTTGTGGTGTAACCTCCTGAGTTCTGTGATGTGATATCCTGAGCGGGTGGCTGTGATGTGACATTCCGGGTTTTGGTTTGGCTCCGAGTTTGAGGCCTGGATATGTGTTCATGGCATGTGTCTGCTTGCTTGGTTTGGGGGTCAGGGTGTGTGGCAGCTGGTGATGCAGCCGTGATCTGGTTTCTGGATGGTGGTTTTCTTTCATCTATGGGATGGGTTTGGGTTTAGTCTGGTGAGGGAGAATGGTGGTGGTGTCATGTGTTGTTTTGGGTCCAGTGTTGGTTTTCATGGCTGGGACTCATTTGTTGGTCAGGGCTAGTTTCCAGATGTCTGGTAGGCAGGAGGCATCATCCCGTTTATTCATGTTATGGGGGTGTTTCTCTATTTCGATGGCTTCCCTGATTGTACTCTTGTTGAAGTGTTCAGTATTAGAGATTAATTTGGTTCCCTCAAAATTAATTTCAGGTCCTGTGGCTTTAAGGTGCTGGAAGAGGGAGGAAGTATTTTCTTCTCTTCTGACTGCGTTCTTGTGTTCTGCGATGCGTGCATTTATTCTCCTGTTGGTTTGTCCAATGTATGTGGCTGGGCAATTGTTGCATGGTATTTCATAAACTCCTTGGTTTTCTAGCTGGATCTTGTCTTTGGGGTTTCTTAGGATGTTGGCTATTTTTTGGTCAGTGCCGAAGGCTGTCCTGATACAGTGTTTGTGGAGAATTTTGCTGATTTTATCTGTGGTGCCTTTGATGTAGAGGAGGAGGGCGATACTGTTGTCCTGTTCTGTGTCTCGGTTTCTGGGGGGTGTCTCCCTTAGGATTAGGTTGGTAATTGTGCTTCTTTGGAATCCATTGGAAACCAACAGGAGAATACATACATACATACATACATACATACATACATACATACATACATACATATATATATATATATATATATATATATATATATTCGCAGAAGGATTAATTGTACAGATGGCATAAAATAAGGTTGAAAATAAGGTCCCACAAACTGTCGAGGATGAAACTGTTTTTAATTGTTTTCTGATTTTTCTTTCTACTTTTCTTTCTTTGTTTCCTTTTTCTTTCTCACGTTTATGTACATGTTGCTTTATTTTAATTGTAAAAGTAATAAAGTTTATTTTAAAAAAACAACCTCCAGTGTTGGAGCATCCACAGCTTCTGGAGGAAGGTTGTTCCATTAATCAATCGTTGTGTCAGGAAATTCCTCCTTAGTTCTAAGTTGCTTTTCTCCTTGATTGATTTCCATCCGTTGCTTCTTATTCTTCATTCTGGTGCTTTGGAGAATAGCTTGGCTCCCTCTTCTTTATGGCAGCCCCTGAGATATTGGGAGACTACTATCATGTCATCCTTTTCAATTAAACTAGACATACCAATCAGGTCAGGCTCCACTCCTTTGTCCAAAAGGCAGTGTATCAATTGCATGGATGTGGCCACCATCTTAAAAAAAATAAAACATTGACTCGTATATATGATGGTTGTTGTCTTCGTTGGGGTGGTTACATGATCCCTTTTTGCGACCTCCTGGCAAGCAATGGAGAAACCCATTCCCTTAACAGCTGTGATCCTAACCGAACAACTGCGGTGATTCACTTAACAACTGTGGCAAAAGAAAGGTCATAAAATGGTTTTCAGGTTACTTTTAACAACTGCCTTGCTTAGCAATGGAAGGACCATGCCTTTGGAAGTTGTGGGAGCTTCATCCCTGGAAGCTTTCAAGAAGAGACAGGATGGCCAGCTGTCAGAAAGGATATAGCACAGTGGTGGCTAACCTGTTTGGGCTCCTGTGCCAAAAATTGTGTGCGCGCTTGCACACTCGTGCTCGTGTGCCAGCACCCAGAAGGCAATGCGCCCCCCCCCCACCCCCTACGCATGTGCCCCCCCCACGCCCCCTACGCATGCGCATGCAATCCCCACCCCCGCCACCCCCTTAGTTTGAGGCCTTTTTCGGCTTCCCAGAGGCTTGAGGAAGGCGTCTGCAGGCTTCTGCAGGCTTTGCAGGCTGAAAACTAGCTCCGTTTCTCATCACTTCTGGTATTGTCGGAAAAACAGGAAGTGACGAAACGGGGCTAGTTTTCGGCCTGCAAAGCCTGCAGACGCCTTCCTCAAGCCTTTGGGAGGCCAAAAAAGGCCTCAAACCAGCCGAAAATCAACTGTGAGGCACGCACATGCGCAGTGAGGTAACTTTGCCCGCAGCTCGTGTGCCAGCACAAATGGCTCTGCATGCCACCTGTGGTATGCGTGCCATAAGTTCGCCATCACGGGTATAGCACCTCCTGCTTGAGCAGGGGGTTGGACTAGATGACCTGCAAGATCCCTTCCAACTCTGTTATTCTGACTGTCTGACTCTTTTAAACCGCCTCCTCACCCCAACAGATGCCTCTAGTTGTGTAGACACACACCCCAAGAAAGACACAAAGGTAGCCTTACCTTTTCATAAAATTCTGGGCCTCACGCTTCTGCATTTTCCTGATCTGGGAGAAATGACTTCCTATTCCTCTTGCAATTCCAGCTTCTGTCCTTGCAACCTGGTCTTTAAAGTAACACAAGTGTCAATTGGTGGTGGTGGGGAAAGCGCTGTCTCCTTATTGCTTAGGAAGGTTTGGAATTTGAAAACTTGAGCAGATTGTTCTAGAATTTAGTCAGTGTTTTTCCACCCCGGGGACCTTGAAGATGGGTGGACTTCAACTCCCAGAATTCCCCAACCAGCTGAGTTGAAGTCCACCCATCTTCAAGGTCCCCGGGGTGGAAAAATATAGTTCGAAGCCTTGAAAGCTATTCAGAAAAATGTACAAAAGAGCAGAGGGGCGGGATTCAAAAAGCCCAGCAACCGGTTCGTTGCCCCGTGGCTGGATGGGCGTGGCCATGGTGGGCGTGGCCTACCAGAACTTCCTGTTTCCGGCTTCCCCTGGGCCTCTGGGAGGGCGCTACTATCACTATCAATCTTCTCATCACTCCTTATCGCCCATCCCCTCCCACTTGTGACTGTATGACTGTAACTTTGTCGCTTGCATCCTTACGATTTATATTGACTGTTTCCTAGTATGATTTGATTGCTTATTGTACCCTCTGACTGTTATTAAGTGTTGTACCTGATGATTCTTGACTCTTGACGAATGTATCTTTTCTTTTATGTGCACTGAGAGCATTTGCACCAAGACAAATTCCTTGTGTGTCCAATCACACTTAGCCAATAAAGAATTCTATTCCATTCTAATTTCTATTTTATTCTATTCTCCAATATCTATTTTATTCTATTCTATTCTAATTCTAATTTCTATTCTATTCTAATTTATATTCTATTCTAATTTCTATTCTATTCTATTCTCCAATATCTATTTTACTCTATTCTATTTTAATTCTAATTTCTATTCTATTCTAATTTCTATTCTATTCTATTCTCCAATATCTATTTTATTCTATTCTATTTTAATTCTAATTTCTATTCTATTCTAATTTCTATTCTGTTCTATTCTCCAATATCTATTTTATTCTATTCTATTCTATTCTATTCTATTCTATTCTATTCTATTCTATTCTATTCTATTCTATTCTATTCTATTCTCCAATATCTATTTTATTCTATTCTTTTCTAATTCTAATTTCTATTCTATTCTAATTTCTATTCTATTCTATTCTAATTTCTATTCTATTCTAATATCTATTCTAATTTCTATTCTATTCTATTCTATTTTAGTGAAATCTGGGAGAATATACAGGGAGGTCAGAAAAACCAAAACTTTTCGGTTGGGTAAAAAAGTACCGCTGCATTCACACAGCACGTTAAACTTGGTTACTATTAAACTTGGTCAGTCACAGGCCACATAACCATTCCCCCCCCCACCGCCCCGCTCCCCAAAATTCACCAGGGGAGGAGGCCCAGCGGATACCTTGGGCGTCCAGGTGCCCTTGCGGGGAGAAGAAATACCCATAAATTTGTTCCACAAACCGGGGAACGGAATGTGTGAAGAAGGAAAAGTCGATCCGGGTACGGAAGAACGCTTCGGCCTGGCGGAGGAAATCCAGTAGGGTCTGGAGGTAGGAACGAAGCTCTGGGGAGATAGGATGGTTAGGGTGGCAAAATACAGGTAGTCTTTGATTTACAGCAGTTTGTTCAGTGACTGTTTGAAGTTACGACGGCACTGAAAAATGTGACATGACAATTTTTCACGCTTCCCTTCCTTTCCCCTTCTCCTCGCTTCATCCTTTTTCCTTTCCTTTCCCTTCCCCCTCTTTCCTTTCCTTTCCTTTCCCTTCCCCCTTTTTCCTTCCCTTCCCTTCCCTTCCCTTCTATGCTTCATAACTTGTTTTTTTTTTTAACCTAAAAGCCAAGGATGGAATAAGGTGGATTTTTTTTTCTCCTCATCTCCTTCTATTGTAATCCCATCCTTATTAAGAAAAATGAAAGTGTCTATTCCTTGCAGTCGAAAAAAGGGGGATTCTTGCCTCATTCTTCAGACTAATACTATTAAAATCAGCCAATTTTAAAAAGAGGCAAAATAGCAGAGAAATGCCGAAAAACAGCAGCGTGCCTGATCCAGGTGTTTCAGAGAGGCTTGAAAAAAAAAAAAGGACAGCGTGTAGCATTTATGAGGAAATTAACTTATTATCCAAAACCCTAACATAGAAAGCGGCTAATGCATTTTGTACAGAATCACTCAATTTCCCTAACACACCGAGATGATAAATGTAAGAATAAATGTCGCGTACAAAACTCATTATTTTCTCATTTTGCTGAGCGTAAATTACCACCCAGAAAATCACACTTTCACCGTGTAGAAAAGAGAAAACTACCTGTACAGTAGAAGAAAGGGAAGTTAGTCCTAAAAAGGAAATATTCGAACCATTTCCTGTAATCCTCCTTTCCCCAATCATGGAATCGAAGCCATGTAAGCTCAAAAAAAAAAAAAGTGAGGTTTTAATCACATGCTTGCACCCATCATCTTTATCTCCCTTGTGGATGGCCAGTACCAGATCCCAGGCAGGACTAGATGACCTTAAGGTCTCCAATTCTATGATCACAGATAGTCTTTGGCTTTTTTATTTTTATTTTTTTTGGCATTCAAGCCAAAAGCACTGAAACTTCCAGGTCAGAAGCACTGAAGATTCTGGGTTGATAACAGATAATCAGAGTTGGAAGGGACTTTGTAGGTCATCTAGTCCAACCCCCTGCCCAAGCAGGAGACCCTACACCATTTCTGACAGATGGCAGCCCAATCTCTTCTTGAAAGTCTCAAGTGATGGCGCTCCCACAACTTCCAAGGGCAACTTCTGTTCCATTGATTGATTGTTCTCCCTGTCAGAAAGTTTCTCCTTATTTCCAGATTGAATCTCTCCTTGTTCAGTTTCCATCCATTATTCCTTGTCTGGCCTTCGGGTGCTTTAGAAAATAGCTTGACCCCCTTCCTCCTCTCTGTGGCAGCCCCTCAAATATTGGAAGACCGCTATCCTGTCTCCCCTGGTCCTTCTCTTCACTAAACTAGCCAGGCCCAGTTCCTGCAACCGTTCTTCGTATGTTTTAGTCTCCAGTCCCCTCATCCTCCTGGTTGCTCTTCTCTGCACTTTTTCTAGAGTCTCAACATCTTTTTTATAGTGTGGTGACCAAAACTGGATGCAGTACTTTAGGTGTGGTCTTACTAAGGCTTTATAGAGTGGTATTAGTACCTCATTGATCTTGATTGTATCCCTCTGTTAATTCCTTAGGATTGCATTTGCTTTTTTGGCTGCTGCTGCACACGGCTGGCTCCTATTTAGCTGGTTGTCTACTAAGACTCCAAGATCCCTCTCACAGTTCCTGCTCGGTTGAAAGGATTAGTTGGTGATGTCACCCTTGGGATGCCCAGTTGCGGGGCTCCTTCCATGTCCCCAGCAGAAGCTAGAGAGAAGGATGTGAGCTCGACCCAGCCCCATGGCAGCTCTTGGGTCTCGAATGCGAGCTTGCTAACCTCCTGCCCAGGATTCCAAACACTTGAGCCGCCATGCTTCTTGCTAGTCCTTGACTAGAAAACGGTCGACAAATGGGGCGGTGTAAGAGATGTCCAGGCTGAGCACGAGGGAGGGGGTCAAATGTGTCATAAGCCACAAGTCCCTGCTCACTTGCAAGAGATCTAAGTCCAGCCCACCTTGAATTCCTTCCTTATCTCCCGCTCATTTCCCTTGATTGTTAGTTGGTCAGATTCTTGGTTTAAGGTTCAAGCGCCGGGGAAATCAGGAGATTCAAGCAGCTCAAATGAACATTGCATAAAGATTTATTGCAAGCTTAAACTCTCTACCACGGGGGGGGGGGTGTGTCAAACTCAATTTCATTGAGGGCCACATCAGGGCTGTGGATGACCTCGGGGGTCCGGGTAGCCATGGCCGACTGAGTGGGCGTGGCCAGTTTGAAGCCATTCCCCAAACTGCTGGCATGTTTCCTCTTCGTATTGGGTAAACCGGGATGGTCCTGCAGGCTGGTTCCGATCACATTGCAGGGCGCATCTGGCCTGCGGGCCTTGAGTTTGACACCCCTGCTCTACAAGAATCTGACCAACTAACAGTCAAGGGAAATGACCAGGAGATAAGAAAGGAATTTAAGGTGGGCTGGATGTATATCTCTTGCGGACACGCAGGGACTTGTGACTTATGACATATTTGACCCCTCCCTCAGGCTCAATCTTCTTATCTCCTACAGGTTGGTCAACATAAGTGACTCATTTTATGACCATCATGACACCCGACCAACAAGCAGGCAATCCTCGACTTACAACCATTCGTTTAGGGACCGTCCCAAATCACAACAGCACCGAAAATAGTGACACGATGAGTTTTCACACTTAACAACCATGACAGCACCTCCACAGTCATGTGATCAAAATCTGGACACTTGGCAATCGGCGTGTTTTTATGATGGCTGCACTGTCCCAGGGTCACATGATGTGATGACCCAGAGGGGCATGGCACAAAAGCAACACAGTCACATAAGTAAAAAGAGTCCCTTTAACTTTGCCCCCAATGTCCAGGTTACCTTCGGCTGGAGAAAAACTCTCCCCGGAACAGTCTTTAAGTGGAGGAAATTCAGTCCGAAACAAAGTACCTACAAACTGTAAGTAAAAATCCACACAAACCACACTGCAGCAATTAACTGGACAGATCAGGATAAGGAATTGCAGACTTGAAAGGCCAACAAAACAAACACAGTTGGGAAGATGCCAGGAACCAAGATAAGCCTCGACAATAACAGATAATTCATGATTTGCTGTCAACAAGTTGCTGTGGGCAACCTCCCTTTTAAAACACCATGTTCCCAGTTGCAGCTAATGAAGGGAATCAGGGCCCTTTCCTCCCCCATAAGCCATGCAACTCCCGTTGCTCCCTTCTCCGTTCCTCCTTGCATACCCTAGGATGAAGAGGAGGTGGGCCTGGGTCTTCCTCTGAATTCCCTCTGCCTTGCTTTACCTCTCCCCTGCTCTGCCCAGCTGGACTTTGCTCTTCCCCAGTTTCTTCCACAGCCAACGGAGCCACACTCCCACTCCCTCTCAGCTGCTCGGCCTCCCCCTCAGAATCAGATTCCGACAGGGGCATGACACGTGATCATCATTTGTCACCTTCCCGGTCGGGGTTCCGACAAGCACAGTCAGCGAGGGAAGCCAGATTCGTTTAACGACCGGATGTTTCACCGAACAACTGCAGTGACTCGCTTAACCCAATGTGGCAAGCAAGCTTGTAAAATAGAGCAAAACGCTCTTTAACAATTATTTTGAGTTAGCAATGGAAAATTTGGACCCAAGTGTGGTCATTAAGTCAAGGACTACCTGTGTAAGTTTCTTCAGGGCGCACACATCACTTACCACATTGCTGTCTCTTCCCCTTGCACTTCTCCTCGGCAGCCTGGGCACAAGCTGCTGGGCTGGACGACCAGGCACAAGGCTGCGCATAGAAGGCGCATAAGTGACGGACTTCTGCCAGCTGTTTGTCTCCCGGCTTCCGAACAGCAGCCAGCCATTCTGAACAGCTGGGCTCCCGGCTGGAGGGAGATCCTGCGTGGGAGGAGAACAGAGGGAGGGGCAGAAAATTTCCCCATTAGCTGTTCTTGAGCAACAGGCAAGAACTTACCCTTTCATGAGAATGTGGCTGCAAGATTTGGTTAATAGCAATAGCACAGTGGTGGCTAACTTTATTGGGCTCCTGTGCCAAAAATTGTGCACATGCTTGCACACTCGCGCTCATATGCCAGCACCCAGAAGGCAATGCACTCCTACCCATGCCCCCTACACATATGCGCACAATCCCCACCCACTCACCCACCCCTGCCACTCCCTTACCTGCACTGTGCCTCGCAGCTGATTTTCCGCTAGTTTGAGGCCTTTTTCGGCTTCCCAGAGGCTTGAGGAAGGCTTCTGCAGGCCGAAAAGTAGCCCCGTTTTGTCACTTCCGGTATTGTCGGAAAACAGGAAGTGACAAAACGGGCCTAGCTTTCAGCCTGCAAAGCCTGCAGAAGCCTTCCTCAAGCCTCTGGGAGGCCGAAAAAGGCCTCAAACCCGCTGAAAATCAGCTGTGAGGCACGCGCATGCCCAGTGAGGTAAGTTTGCCTGCAGCTCGCGTGCCGGCACAAATGGCTCTGCGTGCCACCTGTGGTATGCGTGCCATAGGTTCGCCATCACAGCAATAGCACTTAGATTTGTATACCGCTTTATGGTGCTTTTACAACCAGGAGTGGGATTCAAAAATCCCAGCAACCGGCTCCCTGCCCAGTTGCTGGGTGGGCGTGGCCATGGTGGGTGTGGCCTATCAGAATTTCCAGAAGGGTTGTTTTTGGCCTTCTCCAGACTCCGGAGGCTTCCCTCAGGCCTCTGGGAGGGCGAAAATGGCCTCCCCCGGGCTCTGAAGGCCCTCTGGAAGCCGAAAACAGGCCTGTTTCTGGACTTCCGGTACGAAAGCCCATTTCCTCCCCTCCCAGAGCCTCCACTGCACTTACCTGCATTGAAAATGGGTCATGTGGAGACTCCTGGGAGGGGAGGGGCAGAGTGGGCGGGGCCAGCTGGTCGGTTCAAATACCGGTTCGATGAACCAGATGCAAATTTAACATCCAGTTTGCCTGAACCAGTCCGAACCAGTAGAATCCCACCCCGTCAGCCTCTTGCCCCCAAACCATCTGGGTCCTCGCTTTACCGACCTCGGAAGGATGGAAGGCTGAGTCAACCTTGAACCTGGTGGGATTTGAACTTCCCAAATTGCAGGCAGCTGTCAGTCAGGATCGAACTCCTGGCAGTGGGAAGAGTCAGCCTGCCCTACTACATTCTATTCACTGCCCCACCATGGATCGTGGGTTTGGCTAAACTAGGTTTGGGCATTTGCAAGCCGCTCTGGTCAAGTTTAAGACAGGTGGACTTCAACTCCCAGAATTCCCCAGCCAGCCCTATCTTACAAAATGAAATCCAACGGTGGGAAAAAATAAGATTTTTACACTTAGGCAAGAAAAACTGAATGCACAGATACAGAACAGGTGGAGCCTGACTCAATAGCAGTAACTGTGAGAGGGACTTTGGGAGTCGTAGTGGACAATCACTTAAATAGGAGTCAGCCGTGTGCAGCAGCTGCCAAAAAAGCCAACACGGTTCTAGGCTGCATAAACAGAGGGATCGAGTCAAGATCACATGGAGTGTTCACATCACTTTATAAGACCTTGGCAAGGCCACACTTGGGATACTATGCCCAGTTTTGGACACCACAAATGTAAAAAGAGATGCTGAGACTCCGGAAAGAGTGCAAAAAAAAAAAAAAAAGCAACAAAGATGATCAGGCGACTGGAGGCTAAAATATGAAGAACGTTTGCGGGAATTAGGCATGTCTAGTTTAATGAAAAGAAGGACTAGGGGTGACATTTGATTTTGTCAGCCTCCAAGATCTTTTCTACTGCTTTGCATCTTTCGGCTGCCATGAGTAACGGGGGGAGGGGTTGTGTCTGGGAAGAGAGCTGGAGGTGTTACATTCTTGTGTTGTATAAATGAGGAGTGGGGGGGAAGGATAAATTCCTGCTCTTAACTTTCTATTTCCTTGCTTAGCCTTCTTTCCTTTGAGCAACTGCGAATTTTTATCAAAATATGTCAAGGTCAACGGACAGAGGCCTCATCACCACCTGAAGATGCCCACATGATCATATTCAGAACTTTTAATTGGAAGAGTCTTTTGAACTTTGGGGGGTGGGAACAATTCCATCCCTTTGTATATGTGATCTGCGCGCCTAATTTCTCAGATTCAGAATTCTACCTGTAGCTTCCACTTCAAATTTCAGTAAAAGATATCTTTCCTATAATCTATGGAGTCTAAGTATTTCTTTCTTGGATTTTGAATGGAGCACAGACTGACAGATTTATTTATTTGGTTTATTTATTTATCCGATTTGTCAATCGCTTACAAGATAATAGGTATAAGTATAAACATGAGTAAGAATACAGGAAATAGGCACGAATAAATGGGGGCAATAGGAGGGGACGGTAGGCACGATGGTGCACCTATGCACGCCCCTTACAGACCTCTTAGGAATGGGTATTCTCTCCTTTCCTTCCCTTCCTTCCTTCCTCCTGCTCCCTCCCTTTTTTTGTCTCCTCCCTCCATTCTTTTCTCTCCTTCCTTCCTTCCTTCCTTCCTTCCTTCTTTCTTTCCTTCCTTCCTTCCTTCCTTCCTTCCTTCCTTCCTTCCTTCCTTCCTTCCTTCCTTCCCCTTCCCTGTTCTCTTCCTTCCCCCTTCCTTCCTTCTTTCCTCCCTTCCTCCCACTCCCTCCCTTCTTTTCTCTCCTCCCTCCCTTCTTTTCTCTCCTTCCTTCCCCTTCCCTGTTTTCCTTCCTTCCCCCTTCCATCCTTCCTTCTTTCCTTCCTTCCTTCTTTTATTTATTTATTTTATTTGATTTGTCAATGGCTTACAAGGTAATAGGAATAAGTATAAAGATGAGTAAGAATACAGGAAATAGGTACAATGGGGACAATAGGACAGGGATGGTAGGCATGATGGTGCACTTATGCACGCCCCTTACATATCTCTTAGGAATGGGGTGAGGACAATAGTGGAAAGTTTGAGGTTAAAGGAGTGGGGGGTTTGAGGATGTAACAACAGAGTCAGGTAGTGCATTCCATGATATGAAATGCACATGATACGATAGCAGTCTCCCGGTATTTGAGAGGCTGCCACAATGAGGAGGGGATCAACCTATTCTCTAAGCACCTGAGAGCAGGATAAGAAGCAACAGACAGGAACTAATCAAGGAGAGAAAGTAATCTAGAACTAAGGAAAAACTTTCTAACGGTGAGAACAACGAATCCGCAGAACTGCTTGTTTTCAGAAGTTGTGGGTGCTCCAACATCGGAGGTTTTCAAGAAGAGACTGGACAGCCACTTGTCCAAAATGGGCTGGCTAGGGGTCACCTGCTTGAGCAGGGAGGGTTGGACTAGAAGACCTCCAAGGTCCCTTCCAACTCAGTTATGCGGGGGGAATTCTGGGAGTTGAAGTCCACTCATCTTAAACTTGTCCAGGTTGAGACTGGCTGATCCATCCCTTTGGTCTATTCTGCCCCCTGCTGGTGACGTTGGAGAAAGGCACTCACTCTCCATCTGTTGTCGGATCCAGTCTGCAAAGGCAGGGATACGAGTGTACACTCCCGGTTTCCCACGTTCCCCGCAGCCAGAGCCCCAGGAAGTAATTCCATACAAGACGTAGCGCTCCAGCGAAGGGTCCCAGCACATCAGGGGGCCTCCCGAATCCCCCTGAAAGGAGAAACGGTTGCAAGTCCAAAACAGGAGGAGGACAGAACTGTGTCCCAAGAATTAATTTCAAATTGTAGATTATAACAGAATATAAAACAGAATAACAGAATTGGAAGGGACCTCGGAGGTCTTCTAGTCTAACCCCCTGCTCAGGCAGGAATCCTATACCATTTCAGACAAAAGCGTTCTCTAATCTCTTCTTAAGAACTTCCAGTGTTGGAGCGTTATGGAGTCTGTCATCTGTACCTCTATAACTGTCTGGTTTGGTTCTGCAACCCAACAGGACAGACACAGACTTCAGAGGAGAATTAGGACTGCAGAAAAAACAATTACTACCCACCTGTCTTCCATGGAGGACCTGCATCCTGCACCCTGAGTCAAAAAGAGGGCTGTGAAAATATCTACAGACCCCTCACATCCTGGACATAAACTGTGTCAACTCCTTCCCTCAAAATGATGCTATAGAGCCCTGCACACCAGAACAACTAGACACAAGGACAGGTTTTCCCCAAACGCCATCACTCTGCTAAACAAATAATCCCCTCAACACTGTCCAACTATTTACAAAGTGTGCATTACTATCACTATTAATCTTCTCATTCCTCCTTATCACCCATCCCCTCCCACTTGTGACTGTATGACTGTAACTTTGTCGCTTGCATCCTTACGAATTATATGCACTGTTTCTTAGTATGATTTGATTGCTTATTCTACCCTATGACTATCATTAAGTATTGTACCTTAAGATTCTTGACTCTTGATGAATGTATCTTTTCTTTTATGTACACCAAGAACTTATGCACCAGAGACAAATTTCTTGTGTGTGTTTAATCACACTGGCCAATAGAGAATATTCTATTCTATTCCATTCTCTATTCGTTAGTATAGTCTCTTCTAATTTCTATTCAGTTCTGTTCTTTTCTATTCCATTCTGTTCCATATATACCCTTCCATATTCTATATTCTGTTCTATTTTCTATTCTATTCTATTTTATTCTATTCTATTTTCTATTCTATTCTATTTTCTATTCTATTCTATTTTCTATTCTATTCTATTATGATTTGATTGCTTATTGTACCCTATGACTATTATTAGGTGTTGTACCTTATGATTCTTGACGCTTGACGAATTTATCTTTTCTTTTATGTACACCGAGAGCATTTGCACCAAGACAAATTCCTTGTGTGTCCAATCACACTTGGCCAATAAAGAATTCTATTCTATTCTATTTACAACTTCTGGAGGGAAGATGTTCTACTGGTCCTCACTTGTCACGACGTTCCTCGCTATCAGAACATCATGGCTGAGAATAGTCTAGGATAGGGCCGGAAACTATGGCCCCTTTATGAGCTGTGGATTTCAATTCCCAGAATTCCTGAGCCAGTCATGCTGTCTTGAGAATTCTGGGAACTGAAGTCCACAAGTCTGAGACTCTAGAAAAAGTGCATAGAAGAGCAACCAGGATGATGAGGGGACTGGAGGCTAAAACATGCAATGAATGGTTGCAGGAACTGGGCCTGGCTAGTCTAGGGAAGAGAAGGACCAGGGGAGCCAGGAGAGCATCTCCCAATATTTGAGGGGCTGCCAACAGAGAGGAGAAAGGGGTCAAGCTATTTTCTAAAGCACCTGAAGGCCAGACAAGGAACAGTGGATGGAAACTGAACAAGGAGAGATTTAACCTGGAAATAAAGGAGAAATTTTTTGACTGCGAGAACAATCAACCCACGGAACAGAAACTGCCTTCAGAAGATGTGGGACCTTTATCACTGGAGTCATTTAAGAAGAGACTGGACAGTCACTGCTCTGAAATGGTATAGAACTCCTGCTTGAGCAGGGGGTTGGACTAGGTGACCTCCGGGATCCCTTCCAGCTCTATTCTGATTATTCCATCAGTGCTCAAGGCTTGTTCAGCCTTGGACAAAAAGCGAAATAAAAACAACCAAGGTTAATCCTAACCAAGAAGAGACTGAACCGCCATCGGTCAGCAATGGTGTAGGGTCAATGGTGCTTGGTTGGGGTGGGGGCTGGACGAGATGCCCTACAAGGTCCCTTCCAACTCTATTAATCTGTAACTATGTTATATATTTAAAAGTTCCAAAGGAGCCATACCGGTAGTTGTCCACTCTTGGGTCTAGGACCTGAGTCTCTATGATCCTAGGCCAGAACCTGCCACCACACCTACTGGGCAGGTGTCATGCCCCTGGTGGAGACGGACTCTGAGGGAGTGGAGGAACAGCCAACAGGGAGTGGAAGGGTGGCTCCAGAGGTGGTGGAAGAGGCTGGGGAAGGGCAGAGGCTGGCTGAGCAGTCAGAGGGGGACCCAGGACCATCCCCTCTCCATCCTAGGGCACGCAGGGAGGAGAGGATCAGGGTAAAAATGTGGTCTACTCGGGAGGAGAGGGCCATGATCCTCTTCATGGGTTGCAGGTGTGAGATCTGCATAAGAGTTTGGACCTGCGTGCTAGCAAACGCTGGAGACAAATTAGTGTTTTATTCCTAAAGAAGGTTTATCTTGGTTGGCGTTCTTCCAATGGACTGTCCCCGGTTATCTTCCTGAAGTTGGTAATTATCTATCCTGGCCTGTCCTGGAACTTTATTCAATGAGGTTTGTTTTTGTTTTTTGCTTCGTTATCGGCTCTTTGAGTTCGAACTGTGTTTCTTTCCTTTGAAACGTTATTCTGAAAATAGTTTACTCCTCCACTGTGAACCATTAAACAGTGAAGCCAAGTTGAAGGCATGAAAGGACTTTTAGTTACGTTTTGGATTTTGTTCTAATTCTGATATACTCTGGGTCATCCCAGCAGGGAGTGGCCATCACGTGCCTTCTACCTGCAGTCCCCTCTCCTTCTCGGAGCCTCACCTGGCAAGAGTCGATGCCACCAGAGAGGTACCCAGCACAAAACATGGCGCCGCTCACCAGCTGGCTCCCTAGAGCCCCACGGCAAAGGTCCGGGGCCAGGATGGGCACCCGAGCTTCCATGACGACCTCAGCAGGCGGCCCGTCTAGGAGAGAAGCAGATGGACGCATGAAGGGCCACACCAAGGAATGGCTACACCGAGTGGATAGCGGTGGCAAAAAAAAGGTCATAGAATGGGGCCAAAATTCATTTCACAACCGTTTCTCGGTTAGCAACAGAAATTTGGGGCTCATTGTAAACTTTTTTTACAATGAGAAGGAGGACACGAATAAACACAAATAATACAAATAAATTAAAAAACAAAAACAAAGCCACTTGCGCGCGGCGCACTCTCTCAAAACAATTCTCCTGTGTGGAACGCATGCATCACATAATCGCGCCTCACCGCACGCCTTGACGAATCTATCATGTCAAATACAAATGCGTCACATCACACGCAACGGATAGGATCGGCATCGATCAAATATGGAGATTTACAGATTAGTCTTCAAATATCAAAAAGGAGGACATGCAAGAGGGGACGCTTTTTGAGAGAGGACAGAACTTACAAAAGAAGGACTGTCCTCCCTAAAGGAGGACGGTTGGTCTCCTTATCAATTGTGGTCGTAAGCCAAGGACTACCTGCAATTCCCTGGCCTGAAAGTCTTTATAGGAGAGGTCTCCAAACTTGGCAACTTTAAAACTTGTAGACTTCAACTCCCAGAATTCTCCCCAGCCAGCATAGCTTACTCTCTTGTGATCCCTTCCTCTGCAATCGCTCTCCACTTTAGGAGGTTAAGAGAAAAAAGAAACAGACTGGGGAATTCTGGGAGTTGAAGTCCACAAGCCTTAAGAGTGGCCAAGTTTGGGGGGCCCTGGTCTATAGCCTTAAACTAAGCCACCTCAAAGGGAGGACCACCCCCACCCCAGCCGCACCGTTACCTTCATAGAGCGAGCCCCAGCCGACGATATAGCACAGGGCCTCCTGGCTCACCTCCACGGCCCGTTCCGGGAGGCACACGGGGGCCACCCAGGCCGAGGGGCGCACGGGAGCACTCAGTTCCAGCAAAGCCACGTCCGCGTGGAAAGTGTTGGGGTCGAACTACGGAAAGAGAAAGCGGCCATTGCAATGGGGGGCAAAGAGCGCCAAGCAGCCATGTACGTGGATACATGCAAACTAGACTGTGTGGTTTCTCTGTCATATTAAAATATATGTGGGTATGTGCATCATTTTGTATTTATTTATTCATTTATTTATTTATCTTGTCATGTTTATGTAGAGTCAAATTGGAGGTGGTGACCCTTTAAGAGTGCATGCAATTAAATTTCACTTTTAATCTATGCCAATTAGTGTACATTCAAAGTGACAATGAAGTTATTTTATTCTGCTCTGTTCATTTTCTATATTGTATTGCACTGTGCTCTATTCTATTCTACTCATTTTCTGTACTCTATTCTATCATTTCTATTATTCTATTCTACTCTACTTATTTTCTCTGTTCCATAATTTCTATTATTCTATTCTGTTCTGTTCTGTTCCATTCCATTCCGTTCTATTCTATTCCTGTATTTCTGTTCTGTTCTGTTCTGCTCTATTCTATTCATTTTCTGTACTCTATTCTATAATTTCTATTATTCTATTCCATTCCATTCCATTCTATTCTATTCCTGAATTTCTATTCCTGTTCTGTTCTATTCTATTCATTTTCAGTACTATAGTCTATTCTATAATTTCTATTATTCTATTCTGTTCTATTCCATTCCATTCCATTCTATTCCTGCATTTCTATTCTGTTCTGTTCATTTTCTCTGCTTTACTCTATTCTATAATTTCTATTATTCTGTTCTGTTCTATTCTATTCTATATTCTATTCTATATTCTATTCTATTCTATTCTATTCTATTCTATTCTATTCTATTCTATATTCTATTCTATATTCTATTCTATATTCTATTCTATTCTATATTCTATATTCTATTCTATTCTATTCTATTCTATATTCTATTCTATATTCTATATTCTATATTCTATATTCTATTCTATTCTATTCTATTCTATTCTATATTCTATTCTATTCTATTCTATTCTATATTCTATTCTATTCTATTCTATTCTATTCTATATTCTATTCTATATTCTATTCTATATTCTATATTCTATTCTATTCTATTCTATTCTATATTCTATTCTATTCTATATTCTAT